TATATATATATATATATATATATATATATATATATATACATATGATATAGATTCAATAATCACGATATTGATCAGTTTTTCGTGTCATGAGTTCGGGTAGGTCGTCAGTAAATATGTCACAAATTAGTTCTAAATATTGTTTTCTTTAATTAAAATTTCATTTGGTTTCAAAATTCTGATTAACTTGTATTTGTTGTTTCTAAGCAGTTACTTGAAATTTAGACATTGATAACTCAAATCTCATAATCTTCAAAATCGTTTGACAAATATTTGAGAAACTATTTCTTTACAAGATAATTTTTTGAACAAAATTAGTTTTGAATAGTGTTAAATTGATTATTGAATTTTGTTCTTGATCAACGAATTAAGTTATACATTATTACTAATATTATTTCATAAGAAATAAATTTTCTTTAATTGAGAAATCTACTCCCATTTCGGCTGCCGAATAGCCTTTTTTTGACATGTCGTGAGTAGAGCACTACCTTAACGCTTCGCTTATAAGGCGTGCAAAAGTTACCCGGGGAAAACGGTTTAGATCTGACCAGATATAATTATATCTGGTCAGATCTATTTTTATCTGATCAGATATGGGATTGGAGACATAATCAGATCTAGTTATATCTGATCACATCTAAACAGATATAACTATATCTGAGTTGAAAAATACATCAGACATAATCAGATCTAGTTATATCTGATCAGATCTAAACAGATATATAACTCGAGGTGTTGTCCGAGTGATTGCCGAAATTAACAATGTGCAAGCGTTGTACTTTTCATCGAAGGGGAGAGACCCTGTTTGTTATATGAGGCAACGCCGGATATAACAGTGGCTTGTTAGCACGATAGCGTTTACAATTTCTAACCGATTCTTCTCAAACTCAACATGCTTTATCTATCGATAAAGACCAAGGTTAAGTTCGAAGATGAGCTTAATCGGGTGAGTAATTTGGAAATGACAGGATTTTGAAATTGTGAAAATCGTAAAAATTGATGTTTTTACTACTTCAACTTGTTGTAATTACTGAACTAGACAAGATATTGAAATTCGGTTAGTTGTATCGTAAAGCTCTCTTTTTAAGCTTCAATTTTCACTCTTCAGAAGTGGCAATAGCCTCAATATTACTCCTTTTAGAGTTCGTTTAACAAAACAGTTTTACTGTTGCAGCCGTTTTAGAATTATTGGCTGTATCATAGCATACCCGTGAAAAAATATTCTGATCAGACCTGATATGGCCTGATATGGACCGTCCATGGAAATTGGCCATATCAGACTTGATATGGCCTGATCAGGGCTGATATGGCCATATTAAGATGTAGACAACCCAGAAGGAGAAATAAAATTTATCATTTCTAATTTTATTTTGTTTTTTAAAAAATATTTATAACACTAATTCGTAGTTAATATGAAATTTATTTTAGTATTTTTAGTTGTTTGTCCAACTTTATTCAAAAACAGGTAAACTCTGTAATAGAGTAAAAAAATTCTACTCTTTTTGGAACTTAACACTTCAAAGTCAAGTATCTAGAAAAGAACAATTCCGCGAACATGCGCCATCTACCGAAGACTTTTAATACTAGTTTCGACAGTGCGGAACATGTGATTGCTCCATGGTGAAGTCTTAGTAACTAACTAATATGTTGTTAGATTTATAATATTTCATTGATTATTTTAAGTTTTTTGAAAATTTTCAAATAGTTTTAATAATTCATTAATAAATAACTGAAAATTAAATTTCATGATAAAAATGTAAATTTTTAATACACAAAAGAGTAC